GATGGATGCGTTGTGATCCGAAAAGTCAGGCAACTTCTGAAGAGTCTGATGCAGAGTAAATCCCTCAAAGATCATCCTGATGACCTTCTAGAGAGCTGTTATGGCGATATAGCGTTTTTCTTTGCACATTTAGAATGTAATTATATAAGTATACAACATTCGAATAACCTACTCTGAAAAAACGACTGGATACATTGGCTGACGGGTTATCGACGATGCTGAACGACGGCGGTTGCCAGCGCATGACTGACAAACGCAAAATGATCATAAGACAGCCGAAGATGCAGATCATCATACAGCGATTGACACACGAAGAAGTACGGCATTCCTGAAAAGCGCGTTTATGAAAACAAGATATTGTTTACAGCACAGTCGTACGGTCAAACGCTTGGTTTCGTGAGCTGACTGCTTCGAAATGTGAATTTTCAATCCTTGAACGAAATCCCTACATCGAAGTTGGCAACGGGCAAAATTAACCAATTCATAAATAAAGCAGAAGCCCTAAAGCATGACCTCAGGCATTTATTTAAAAGCACAGTTGCATACCAGCACGGTGATGCCTTGTTCCTTAGAGAGCATCGCAGTGAAAGCAAACAATAAACACATAAACATCTCAACAGTGAAAAAGTTTCTTTTTCCAGAACTGATGGCTGAGTCGTAGCACAGAAAAGAAAGCAAAAAGAACAGCGCGGATAAAAGTTCAGCACGTCCTGATATATTGGCAACCTGCAAAGAACGCTTATCATGTTATCATTCTTGATGCAAAAGACTTACGCATTCGGAGTGCACAGGATGAACGGCAAAAATAACGCTGGCAAACATCGCCGTTGAACTTTTCTTTAATTGAAGGATTCTGAGATAGGCCTCGTAACTTAGAACCGTAACAGCTCCGTGAAGGAGAATGTTAACTAAGTGATAGCTTCTTGTGTTCAAGCGCGTCCAGAAGTAGTTCATCCTAATTAGAGAAATTTTAAGTCATACCAACTTAAATGCTAGTGATCATGATGCTATATGAAATAAGCTAAACATATTTTCGCAGTACCGACACCCACGCAATCAATGATCAGGGAACTTCTAGGGATGTAATGAACGTAAGTTAAACTAATTCTAGAGTGAACACACAGTTCAAGATATCTGGCCAGATATCTTGCAAACCTGGAGTGCGCAGATGATATTGTCCTTGTGAATAGAACGGAAATTGGCCTCGGTCACCGAACTCCTTATGTACGCAACATGGATTGAGCCGGGGTCGTGGAATCTGCACATGAGCAGAATAGCTCCTACTCTCAGAGACTGATAATTCCAGGGCCCCGATGCTTCTTTGAAGAGTCCAGCTTTGCCCAATAAGTGTCATGCGGCCTCATCGATTAGTTGTTGCTTTTCCTCCATATGAGGAGATGCTTCACTTTCGGTCTGTGAGCTATTACTGATGGAATCGTTCAAAACAAATCGTATTTGACTTGCTTTGTCGGCATCGAACCATCTGGTTCCATTCAGGTCAAGTACCAGCTCAATTGCTTCATCTTCGTCGTCTTCTTGTCGATCTTCTGCGACCGTCACCGCGCTGTTATTTCCTGGCTACCAGAAGGCGTAAAGCAGGTTCTGATCGCTGAGTTTGCCTGAGTTCCCCAAAAGCCTGAGTGGCCTTTGGCACCTTATCCGCGACCGAGCTGGTAAAGCGTTCGATAATGGTAATGCCATGATGGTCAGCTTACCAACTTTTACGGGGCACCTTACCACGGTTCTCTACCCTCCTCCTTTCTCCTTCTTTCGTAGGACAAGCAAAGGCGGAGTTTGATCCAACCCAATAACTAACATAGTGAAATTACATGGAATTAGATGTAATATGCCCAAGTGTGTCCTGATTTTTTAACTTATTGTTGAACTAGTCATGTTTTAATGAGCTGGTGTGTCGTAATTTTGTGATGCTATCATCTGAGGCCATAATTTGTTTAGTCTCAACACTGACAACGCGTAACTGATTACGATAAGCGAATATTATGTCGAAAGGCGCTCCTTTACTGAATCTGGAAACAAATAAAGTCCCATTTTCCTAAACGCTACAACCTGATTTCGTAATATGTACACTTGTGTGTTCGCATATATCATCGTCCAGCTTATTCAAATAACTTGCCGATCTATAAAATGTGTTTCGAGCCATTCATGTCAGAGACTGTAAAATACTTGACCCTTTCCACTCAATCTAATCATTTCTAATTTTTCATTTTGTCATGTGGTCTGATGTTGACTCCATAGAGTGCAGGCGTTATTGCTGATCTGATCAACATGAAAGCACAACAGGACATAAATACTATATACGGACTTAAATGATAAACGATTAAATTTGCAACTAAGGGTGCTGATAGAACAGGACTCGAGGACGGCCATATCAAACGTAGCAGCTCACTATAAGGGCTAGGGACTTCCTTTTGCTATGAAGTTAACAATATATCATATAAACACTAAAACTGGAACTCATACATAGATGTAAATGACCAATCAAAGAAATATTGTACGTGAGATTGGCAGTAGAAATTAACCATCCGTAGTTTCATTTTTCATTCAGGGTGCAATTAATGCCGTAAAATGCAGATTGCATTATGCCTGAATAGGGTTACGATTAGGGAATGAATCGAATCGAATGAAAACTAATTCAGTGAAGTACAATTAAATACGCGTATAACATCAAATCCACTCAAATATTCTCCATTTTGATTTCAATCGGTACTGCATTCGCTCCGGTGATCAGATTTTTTCACTGGAAGATGCGTAATGGGCGATCGAATCCATAACTCATGCATTCATCTTCAAGACTATCACCTCTGTTTTGCACTGTATTGATGGAATTTTCTTAGCATATCTTCACCGATATTCAACTGTATATACCCTGTATGTAGGAAGGCGGCAAATGAGCGTAAGCTGCTACTAACTTTGCCGCAACCGGCCTCCATCCATGAATGAGAAAAGATAGAAACTACAAACGGTGAAATTAGCGTTTAATGCCTTCCCGACCTTCACGGCGATAGTCTACTGTGTGGTGACTGAAACTTTTACTTTTTTGCAGTATCTCATGATTTAAAATGCTACACAATCCTTATTATTCTCCAAGGGGCGATCCGCCGATTTAATGTGCTGTCGCAATCCAATTCTAGCAAAGAAAACTTGTAAACTGCAACTAAAATTCGCTTAATAATTGAAACGTCGTTTGCATGTAATGTAAATTTTAATCGTGGTTCCATCTATAAGAAGTTTAGCTAAAAATCAAATCATTGCATTGAATTTGTAAGTTTTTTCTCATTCAACATGTCTTGTATTATGTGCTTCGTATATACGGTAAAAGCTAGTCGAAACTATTAGAAAATCTTCTCGATTAAACTTGACTAAAGCTGATCGTCACTTTGTCTTCAGAAACAAAGCGGCTTAGATAATGGCATCGTAATAAGAATAGGATTAGCCCTGCGTAAACTAGATATCAGAAATCATGCCAAATTGCATCGACAGCGATATCCTTAACTTCTGAGCAGTAAGACTGTTCATAACACACCTGGGCCTACGGGGGGGGGGACGTTTTAACAGATGAGGGCTACATGGTATTTGATCGCTGCAGTGCCAGTTGCACCACGCATTATTTTATTAACTAGAGCGTCACGCTCGTTACAGTTTCTCAGTAACCGCTACTCCTTAGGTGCTTCGCAATCAAACACGTTCATATGCCGGAGTATGTCAAATAACTCAGAATTCCTCCAAGACTAGATTTCCCGGCGCATTGCACCGTCCCTACTCTTAGTTGACTATGGAGGGGACTTTTAAGCAGGGGACGACTCCTTGGTAATTGAGCACCGCTTGTGCCAGGTGCATCTAGCATCCCTGCGTTATGCAGAGCCGCGTTGCGTTCATTAAGAGTGATGTTTCAAAAGTTGCTACTTTCATATTCACCTTATAAACACCGAAACATTTTCGTACATCAGAGTATGTCAAATATGCATAACTTCTCTGAGACCAGATTTATGGCGAACAAAATGATGCGAGCTGCATCTGGCACGTTATGTGCTATCCTTGAGTAGTGGCCTGTTTAAATCTCTCCCAATCAAATACGAGTAAAGGATATTGTACAGTACCTGGTGAAATCTGGTCTTAGAAGAGTCACGCGTCATTTGACATACTCCAGCGTACGAACACATTTGAACGTGTAGTCCAAACTATCGCTGGAAAGCAACCAATCGAAGTGAAGTGGATGTCATTACCAGCGGTTTGAAGTTTTGCATTTTGAGTATATGTGGAAGCATTTATTATTATTGCTTTCTGAGTCTCACTTGCCACAGAAAAAACTTGCCTCGTAAAGTTTAAGTAGTTCTTAAGCAGCTCTGATTTCATCTTATTTGCAGCTGCTGACGACTGCTAGGCAGTATTCGTCAAGTTGCTGGCGCCGGATGACAATTGTCACGTCATGCTCCGTGCACCAGAGACACGAGCTTACGCCGCGGAACGAACGTCAAACATGAGAGTGACAATAACTAGTTGACCCAAAAAGTATGGTCAACGAAAATTACATCTCGTTTGAGTTTCGCCATTACTTAACCTTCGCTGATAAGCATCTATGGTTATATTTTGAATTCAGTTATCAATTTCTGCAAGCAATTTGAAGTTAACAATGTAATATTATCCAAATTAATGCATATTAACTAAAGATTCGAGTTTGTATGCCTGATTATATTAACATCTAATCTTGTGATTGAAGTATTTAAGCATAGGTTAACACACTCAGGCTTTCAAACTGATGTTTGGCTGCTAACTCATTCGGAAACGCCCTTAGTGATGAGCAGTATGTTTGTCTAGTCAATAAGGATGCGAGTTGCACCTAGCACTGCAGACGATATGAGGAGTAGTGGCCCCATGGGTAATAGTTTTTTATGTACTGTTAAGGTGTGAGGTTCAAATCGCGGAGCGGTGTAAAGTTTTCTTATTAGTTGCACGCTGATTGATATGGAATTTACTTCATCCCTTCTCCCTGTAATTATATGCCGCTAACTGAGAAAAGGACAGAATGTCGTTTATTACAACCAGTAAGGATATCATACTCGTATGATGCAATCATGCCATTTAAATAAAAACCTTTATAGTCCAAAGCTGAGCGAAGATACAAATTTTTCGTAAATTCTCTCTAAAAAATGACTCATGCAATAAATCAAGAAAACCCTAGTTGTAACAACTTGCGAAAATCAGGACATGGCAATTTTTTGCCCTGGTTCTACTAGAGTCGGCATATTGTCAATATCGATCATGGTTTTGAGCACGAAAGCTTTGATTGGTTAATTTTAATCTTATAAGCCATCTGGTAGCAGCATGTCGCTCAAGCAGATAATGGACCGTGTGAAAATTAAAAAGTACAAGTTTGAAGACTTTAACTGTTTTTCCCTTTATGTTACCTTACATCCTACTGAATCAGTTGAAACGTTTCTTCAAGTATATTATTTATTTTACGCCAGTAAAAGTTTCCCGGATTACCAGACTTCAGAAGTAATCATCACAAATGGAATTAATAAACTTCTTCTTTAAGCTATTGATTAGTTTCTAAGGGACAGAAATACTCGTAATCTCAATCGCAATTATAACATGGTATTTGCCCACAACAGACACCTAAGGAATGAAAAATCGCTAAATCGCTTCTGGGACAAAGAACAGAAAAATAAGCTGTAAGGTCGATGAAAGACTGCCTCAGTGTTCATCTAGTAGAACTGATGATAATGAATTCACATATTATCAGTGGAATAGTGAACTCATTTCTTACAACAGTATAACGCTATGTTCATATCAAGAAGTAATTGGCGGATCATGAGGCATTCGACGACGTATGCCGGGGATATAGTCAGTAATGATAGCTATAGTTAAACGTTTTCAACTACAAATAGCGGTATAGTCAAAAGCTGCCTATTTCCAACTCCCTTATTATTGATCAGAGTAAATAGTAAGCTTCTGCATCTGAAAAGCACGCTTGAATTAATAACATAGTATTTAGAACAGTTAAGGAACCATAAGAAATCAGGTGGGCAGGTTAGTGAATATATGAATATTCCTTGAGATATGGACTGAGGAACGTAGGATCGAACGCAAACAATTCATTTCATTTCAAAATTCAGTGAGTCCGAAGCATTTAAAATTAGCTGTCATAGTTGTCAATAGTAAGATACTTGCGAGTTAATTTAGACAACAAGTTTTGCCTGGAAATTTATTCTTTTTCTGACGGATTCGCTATTAAACTTCCTAAGCATCGGAACATGGTTCAGCTATTTGCGTTTCTCGTTGCGAAACGTCAGTATTTAGAAATACATCAATTTGTAAAGAGAGGGGAATATATTTTGCTTTGCACTATGAGGGCAAACGGTTACTTAAGCAGCAAGCAAAGCTATAATTCCTCGTCTAATAACGGAACGGTGAGAGAAAACCCAAACGAAACATCGGTTACACTTCATGAACCTGAAAAGCGTATTGTAGGACGTTGCGTTTAAAAAAGTTGCCTGATTTCTTTTACTTCCGATATAATAAACCACGTATGAAAACGAGTAGTCAACCAAGCGACATTTTAAAATGTCAAAGCAGTGTATGGAAGGGACAACATAAACACTTCTTATATGTATACAGCGCAAATAACATAGTCAATCAGATGATTGATGATTGATCAGTACCGATCTTTCGGCCAATACCTTGCGAGCGTTTTTCAAGATAGCGAGCTTGGCAGACGTCGGAAATCCTTTCTGCCGTGCGCCGAGGTTATACTATAAGGCTGGTAGTTAAAGGATAACCAACCTCTTAATCTCGAGGAAAATCCGTGACACACGGGCCGAAACGTCTGTACTAGTCAGTCATCTGAATGGCATATTGCTTGCGCTGTGCATATATAAACTGTTTTTCAGTATGGCCACAGACACACGAATGAAATTCTTTATTTTCAGTATGTAAGAGAGGGGACTTATTAGGAAACAATCAAAAGAAGCCGTCGCTTCGACCTTCTGCTTCGACCTTCGACCTTCGCTAAGACCTTCGACCTTCTTGCGAAAACCGCTAAACACCTTTCGTAGCTTTTTTTCTAGTTTTGACAATCGTCGTAACGCTGAATTGGCGACCGAGAGAGGCAATAATTTCTCTTTTAAGCAAGCCCTTAAAGCAAATCTAATTTTTTTCCACTGCGTTCTGACGAGGTTCGTGGCACATGCCGAAACAAAGACCTGCGAATCTGTCGCGTTTCAAGGTCTCTCTCAATTTACGCCACCCGTTGTCACCGACTTGTTTGAAAATTGTGAGAAAGTCGATAGGAAATCTTCAATACGTAAGCGATGCAATGCATATTGTGACACCTCCAGTAACACACAAATGCTGACAGTTAAGCAAAACATTTACCGTCAGTATTCTGGTCCTGAATTCGCTCTATTAAATAACTAATGATAGATGTAGGCAGAAATCACACTTTAGCACGAATTACAGCAGATAGTGTTGATTCTGAGTTCAGGCAAGTCATCTCACTTCCATATCGGGTAGTTCATAGTGGAATGAATTGGCGGTTGCAAGACGACGATCCACTGAAAGCTTGGAAACTAAAATTACCAAGAGTTTCTGTAGCAAGACCGGTAAAATATGGCAATTTTTGGAGCTAAATTCTATCTGGCTGATTCTTGTCAGTTATCTTATTTAGAGGCTTCACCATCGGTCAGGCAGTGATAGCAGTCTATTAAAACTTTTGAAATGTTGCGCTAGAAATAATGGTACCTCTCAGTATATGAGAATACTCTGACAAATTAGCTCGTTCACTTATCAGAAGAGGAAACGTTTTGATGGAAGGTGGAAATGAGCACAGAAAAGAATTCCCTATCGATAATTTAGCTTGCACCTGACGGAAAGTCTGCGAAACTCAAAGTCAGATAAAAGGGATTCATTAGAAAAGAGAGTGAAAAACATTATCGATCTTTGGTTTTCCAAGAGTTAAAACGCTTCGTCATCTATTAGAAATAAATACAGATTCAAATGAAAACATAAGCAATATTCCGGTTAAACCGGTTAACTTTGTCGGCTAAACCTTAGACCTTTCGATACTTTCATTGAGATTAGTGCTTCCAGTGGTTGTAACTCGTAATGGATAGAGAATTCGTTGACAGGCTACATGCGAGAAAGGGGTTAGCTGTCATGTATGAATGACCACAGCGTAGTTTTCGGACGAATCCATCTGTCTAACGTTCAAACGTGTGTTGTTGACCGGTTGAAAATCCATACGGTAGGATCATCGCGTTTCAATAAGATTGTAACGTTATGGTCATGAATGGGATGCTCTTGACTTGATTTAGACCGGTCAGCCGGCAGCAGGTTCCTATACCCAACTAACACTGTCTTCATAGCCAGTAAGATGTTCAAGGCCTCTCAGACTATGTCAAAGTAGCAGCAGCGAGTAGTAGTATCCCAAAAGAGGTAATGATGGTCAGCAACTGTGTGTGAGAGGCTAAGACATCAAGCCTTTATAGGGATAGTCAGAGATCCGTGTGCAGATCAACGCGACAATGAGTTGATGTTCTTAAATGTGAATGCTGGTCTCCACCAGGGTACCTTGTCTCTTCTCATGTTTCTAGTTTTCACTCAACTGGAGAGGCAACCTATTAGTGGAGAGCATCTCAGCTGAAAATGTTCACTGAATTTCTTGTTGTTTGCGGACTATTTATTCGTGCTCGCTCTCTCTTCTACTGACCTTCAACATGTATGCAACATATTCGTTATGCAGGCAATGAGGATGAAATAAAAATGAGCTTGATCGAAAATTACGCTGTTGTAATTTGGAAGATGGTCAATCCATATGCTCCGCGGGTAAATGGAAGGCAACTGGAACAGGTAGGGAAGTTAAAGTATTTGAGAATAGCATTCTTGGTGTTGAAATAGACATCTGAATAGACTAAATGCACGCTGTAATGCGACACCTAACCTGGTCCGTAGAACTGAGCAGCAGTACCAATCTATCGCTCTTCAACTCTGTCTACACATCAACTCATTTTTGATCAGAATGCTGCATACTGTTCAAAATGCTGCGATCGCGTAATCTAGAACACAAGCAACAGAAACGAAATACCTCGCACCACTGGTGAAGTAACGAGATTTGATAAGCTCAGAACACGGCAATCTTGAAAACCCTCCCTTTTGCTCTGCTCTGTCCTCAGAACAATATCGACATTTGCAACTATTTGAGTGTAACGACGAGAATGCGAAAAGATACGAGCAAGATAGAGTGTCTTCGACAAACCATATGGCATATCGAGGTACGGATGGATCTGTAATCGAACACAGCATTTTCATGCCTTGGAATCACAATCGAGTGTCTTATCAGAGTTACGAATAATCGGGAGAACTATAGAGACCTCCCGAAGCTGTTGTCCATAAAACCCAAAAGGAATAGGGGACTTTGAAAATGAATCGATGCATGCATTTACAGATTCATCCCCTGTACTCTGTCTCTACAAAGCGTTTCCACCATTGCCAAGTGAATCAAATTCTTTTCAATAAAGAAGAATATACAGAAAGTGTTAAGAACAGTTTGGAAAAGCCTTAGAACTAACGATATTGGTCTGCGAGCAAGATGGCTCTCAATGATGACTCGTTAAAATCATAAAGGAGAGAAAAATACAATTTTGACCATATTATATTATGAAATACAAATACTGAACTGCTGAAAAATTGACACTACCGGCGGATGGCGTCAAGTCCGAACTGACGGCACGGAGTCAACGGCAAATCTCCCCTATGTTGTTGGGAGGATAGAAGGAAATTGGCACAACAGAACATGACTACTTCCGTGCGGAATGAGGCAAAGATAATTTTGTGCAACGCTGTGCACTGTACAGTCTACCCTCAGAGCAACTGCGTTATATATCTTTAACGTGGTGATTTAAAATTCTGAAATATTAACTGCTGAGTCTCAAGTCTGCATGACAAAAAAATCGAACGAAGGTGCTAAATCCCCTGTTTGTGCTAAAAAATGTACGTACTTAAATGACATTATTGTTAGCGGTCGCCATGATTTATGACTGGCATTCGATGACATTGGAGTGCCCCAGTAATCGTTGACAACGAAGTTCAGCCACGGCCTAGGAGTGCCGCGAGGTGCGTTTGCTTCGTTGACTATGTCCTTATTATAGACGATCACTTTGTAGTCGTCAAACACGAAATCGCCGTCCAGGCAGACCAGGTACGGTGCAATGGCGATGAAGAACAGGAAAAGGCGCCTGCTGCTGACCAATCGCCGGGACGATAGGAGTTTGCTGCGATGGACGACCGCCACTTGAGCATCATCGTCCAACGACGCGAACACGTTAAACGACAGAACGGAAAACATCGCTTAGCTGTTTACTGGCGGTGTCTCTGATCGGTTGAACATCGCACCTGATTTCCGTTCGTCGACGGTTTTCGTTCGTCCCTCTGAATCTTGGTCATGGTAACAGGCCTACAAAAGAGGCGTGCCTACAAAAGAAACTCATTCAACCGACCAAGTAATATAACAATGAATTCAGCGAGATCAGATGCTAGTAGCGTGCGCAATACGGCTGCAATTCATCAACAGGGCACACGAGACAATGACTGTGGAATATGACAGCAGATCAAAATCAGCGACCAGGAATACGGTGTGCTGCGTGATAGCCGCTAACGACGCATGCGCCTGCAGAAAACTAGTTAGACAAGACATTAGCAGTGACAGTTGGTCGATGAAATTAATGGCCACAGCAAGGCAGATTCGTGGCG